CCAAATTGGTTTACTAATTGGTGGATCTCATACGGCCCGAGTATAGATATCCTCCCTGAGGAACCATTCAGAAAATTATATGGGGAATGGTTACCTGTCTCTCCAAGATACCGAGACCAAGTTATACCCTTGAAATCAGAAGGATTGGAAGTAATATCTTCTATGCATTTTTTCATGGAATTTTCTATTCCTTGGATCTGGAAATGGTCCCCTTATGTGGATTATACCCCCTCTAAATTTCCTTCCCTACAAAGGTCATACTTTACCAAATTTTGGCCTAAAATGCTTCAAAAGAATCCAGAAACAAAAACCCTTAATGCTCAGGAAACAATTGATCATATCAATCAACAAATTAAGAAATACCAAGACCAAAAACTCTTTTCGGAAATAGCCTCCTCAACAGCAGTGACCCCCTCAACTCCTCAAAAAGTTAATTTAACCAAAGAGGAAATGATCAAGTCATTCAGATTATATTGTTCTGAATTAAAAGAAAATCTTAAAAGATTTTCAAAACATGATACAGATGAAGGTTCAAATGAAGATATTCAAGATAATATGTCAGTTGATAACCAAAGCCAAGGCCAATCACCATGCTTAGCAGGGGAATCCCAGCCAGATGATGAAGAAGTTCCAGATGGTGAACTCCCAATTGATTGTATAATTGACATGATTGAGAAGTCAATCACGCAAAGAAAGAATCTTTCAAAAAACAAAAAGACATCACCACAATAGACTATAGGTGACAGGTGGATGGACCAAAATAAAAGAAGAATATATTCTTCAAGAATTATTGAAGACAGAGGAAATTACTCGTCAGACATTATTAAAGCCAGAAGAATCAAACAAAAAGTCATTTCTACTTTTCTTAAAAGTTGTCTGCCAATGCTAAATGTAATAATTTAGGTTTTGTTTGTTTTTGAGTCCTCCTGATCTATTTAAGGAGCCTCTACCTTATGTTTTAGGCAGGCTGAAAGCCAATTTCCTCTTTCTTTCTTGTAATCCCTCCTCTGTAAAAAACATCTCTGCAATAAAAGTCTGAATTATATTTGGAGAAGCAAAGTTTTATTACGGTACAGCAATTTTGGATTCGCCTTTCTGGTCAGTTTACTTTCTTAAACTTAATTCTATTTTCAAGCCTAATGCAAGGCTAACTTGATAATATCACATAGTATTATCATGGAAGCAGTATCATGATCGGCAAATCATTAAAAAAAAAAAAAAAAAAAAAAAAAAAAAAAAAAAAAAGTCTGGAATGGAAAAAGGCAAAGTCGTGTTTTAGCCCGCTTTTGTGGCCACTGTGCCGTTTTAGGGCGTTTTACTCATTGACTCGCCTATCTCACCCAACTCTTTTTGTTTTTATTTTTCAAAGTTCTAAAAATCTTGTTATCTGTTTATGGTCCTGCTTGATTTTTATGGTCCTTTATATATTAATAAATATTACTTTATTAGATTATTAATTCCCTTTAGTTAATTTTTTAATTCGGTTTTATTGTATTAATTCCTTTTTTTTGGACAACACCATCACCATCCTAATTTATATTAAAAAATCACATCCATCCCACCACTATCAAACATAAACAGGGTCAAGAATCACACGTTGGGTTATTAAAAAAACAAAAAAACTAAAATGACTACAAAGAATAACAACGTAAAATTAACTTGAAAAACAATAAACTAAAAGCAACCTAATCGACATTCTATTTGGATTTTAATTGATTTGTGTTTGATTATTGTAACGCCCGTCTTTCTAGGCTAGACATTAATATTGACATAATAGTCTAGGTTAACCTTTGTAACTCATTTTGGAAGAAATGAAAAGGAATTATGTGAATATTATGTGTTTTATGCTTAATTACTAGGATTTAATTAATTAAGAATAAAAATGAGCGTCGAAAATAAATATTAGATAAAGCCGATATTTATTAAGAAAGTTGTAGTGGTCGTGACTAGGATTACGGATATATAAAGAATACCGAAATCCGAGTTATAACGAAGAAGTTATGACATGTCGAAGTTTCGCGACAAAACCGGCACGGTGCCGAATGACGTAAAAAGTGAGTTTTTGATAAACTACTTTTTAGCCTTAGTGATCTAAACGAAAGTCGTAGTGTTCGTTAAACCGAGAGTATGTATAAAAAGAACGTCCAAATCTGACTTCGTATGAGGAAGTTATGATTTTTCTAAGTTTCAGCTTAGCAGTAGACAGCTAAAAACTCGAATTTTAGATCGAGTGGTTTTTAGCCGACACAACCTAAACAAGAATCGAAGGTCTCGTCAATAGTAGTACAACGGTAAAAAGACAGACGAAAACGGACGTCGGATGTAGAAGTTATGAATTTTTAACGAATTTCCTATCCCGGTCTGTTAAAAATAATAATATAAAAATTAAAGTCAAAATTAGCCGACGAAGTCTAAACGAAAGTTGTAGAGCGTAATTTTACCTACGCGTGCATATAAAGAACGTCAAAAACGGAGCCCGTATGCGAAAGTTATGGATTTTAGAAGATTGGGGCACAATTTTCGAGAATATTCGCATGGATAAGCTTCATCCGGACCAGCCACGTCACCCTCGCTCCGAGCTGGCCACGTATCCGAAGCAGCTGCGTCATCCGAGTCGTGGCACGTCCGAGGAGCGACGTGTGTCGCACAGGTGTCCAAAGCCGATGACGTGTCCGAAGCGCTGGCACCTCGCATGCGCGCCACCTGTCCGAGCCACGTGTCTTCGCCTCCTGCTGCCTCGTGCCCTTGCTGCTGACTCACTCCTCTCGGCCGACCTTCGGACCTCCCCTATAAATACAAGGCTTGCGAGCCTTCTCGGGTAATTTTGAGAAATTGCCATTTTTCACCCCTTTTTCAATATTTTCACTATTTTGACATCCCCCGAAGCCCCGGTACCAATTATAGCACCCGAAACACGTCCCGAAGTTCCCGAGAAGCCCGAAAAATTTATCTTTTCGGTTTCGAAGCCCAACCCTCGCAGAGCCCGGTTTCTCAAGAAAACTCCCGGTTTTATTAGAAACGATCGTTTTAGGAAACGAAGTGCTGCCCGATTATCATTAAATCATGTGAGTGTATAGTCACTTTCACCTTACACATATATATGAAGTATTTTCTTTAAAATACATGCTATGTGTAATTATATTAATTGTTTATTTAAGGTGACTGTTGAATAGATGTTTTATACAAGTTTTAAACTGGATATGTATTTTTATCTACAAATATGCTGGGTAAAACATGGGTAGATGAATTAGATGATGTGTGATGAAATAAAAATTGATGAGAGGTATCGATGTTTAAGATGATCTAGTCATCTAGCAGAGTATAAACAACGACCACAGACTACTTTAGATAGTCCAGTGGAACGTTAACAGATTCGTAACCGGTAGGTATGTTTGAACTATATGTTCATAAGGTGTTCTCGAACTATATGTTCATTAGGTGTTTTTGAACCATGTGTTCATCCAATAGTTTTTCTTTTTGACACTATTACGTGTCGGGGTACGGGAGCGTACGGGAGTACTTTATTAGTATTTTCTCTATACTTTTTATTTTGAAGAGCTTTGGAGTCTTCGTTTATTTTATGAAGTGATCGGACGAGCTTCATGAGTCAACGTTTCCGTTCACAATGTCGGATAGGGTGAGTCTGGGGGTAAAATGCCTCACGATATTCAGACCACTGCCTAGGCAAAGTTCGATGCTGGATAGGGTGAGTCTGGGGGTTACATACCTCACGATATTCAGACCACTGCCTAGGCAAAGTTCGATGCTGGATAGGGTGAGTCTGGGGGTAAATTACCTCACGATATTCGGACCACGACTAGGCATTGATAACTACCCCTGACTTAATTGTCTTGTGGTTCTTTCTTTTACGAACACAGGTTCGTGGTTAAACTTATTCCATTCGTTTGATGTCTTTTTCGATCCTCGTTTGCTGCTAGGGAATTTCCGAAGCAATTTCGTTAGTTGGTTGTCCATATCAATCCTTTAGGCTAGATCTAGTAAGATCACTGTATAGGATCAGTATGTGGGGATCGACGTTTGTTAGTGCTTGTAGTATAAAACTTGGGCAGCGATGGACTCCGTGCCTATTCCTTAGGATGAATCCTTAGGAACGAGTGATAGTTGATTCTTAGGGTAAATCCTTAAGAAATAAATAAGATAATGGGGATTGGGTAATTGGGTTGATTGTTTGATGTTTAAGCATAATAAATTTATTTATTGTGGGTTGAAAACCCTATATGCTCACCAGGCTCCCAAGCCTGACCCACTCAGTTTGTTTGTATCACAGGTATCGATACGAAGTTACTTTACACTGAGAGATTAAAAGAGATGTAGATCACTAGTGTAAGTGAATGTAAGTTCTGTTTATGCTTATGTTTCTGTATTGACGATGACATCCCAATGGTTTAAGTGAATAAAATACATTTCTTCGGAAATGATTTGATAAGATAATTATCATGTTTTTATGGGAACAAATTCCGCAACATCTTTTAAAAGGATTACTCTGATTTTATTTTAAAAAGCATAAATTAAATCGGTCTTTTCTGGCCGTGAAATTGGGGATGTCACAATTACATTGTATGATAATTTGTATTTGTATTTTAAATGATTACTGTGTAATTTTGATTTTGTATGACAATTTGTATGTTTATATAATTACCAGTTTATAACTCGTGCGAACCAAAAGTTACAAAATTGATTAAACTTTCAAAATAAAAAGAAAAAATTATTAATCAATTACTTTAAATTAATTATTAATTAAAAAATATTTTTTAGTTATATAAAATTATAATCGTTGATTTAAATAAATACGTGAAATTATATCACTTTATAATTTATATTAACTTTATTTTAATTTTTATTCTAATGTTTTTAGTTTAATGTAATTAGAATAGAAAATTTAAAATTTAAAATAAAAATCAATAGATTGTCAAATAATATGACATTAATTAGAATGTCTAATAAAATGACACATAGCAAAATGAAAATTTTCAAGTTAGATGGGAGACAAAAGGGCAACGGAATGGATAGAAGTCCGGCGAAGAAAGACACCGATGATGAGAGACCCAAAAGAAGAAACGACGTACTTTGTGACTAATGTACCAGAAGAAGCCAGGAAGAATGAACTTTGGAAGATCCACTCCAAGTATGGGAATCTCACAGATGTATATATAGGATTAAAGAAAAGGAGAAATGGACAGAACTATGTGTTCCTAAGATTCAGAGGGATTAAAGACACCAAACAACTCGAAAACCGACTGGCCGGGATTAAATATAAAGGGAGGATCCTAGTGGTGAACTTGGCCATGTATGGAAGGAAAGAGGCCTTACACAAGCGCAACACAGTTTGGAAACAGGAGCAACCCTTCGACAGACATATCTCAAGAACTGGGATGAGGGATCGAAGAACTTTCGCAGAAGTGGCCCGACCTATACAAGATCGAAGATGGCGCCAACCCACCCTCCTCAGCCGACAGCACCGCCTCCACCCCCAACCTCCTGCATCAAGAACAAGAAAACTATTGGCTTAGTAAAACCAAACTCATCGGTGAGGCAATATCGCTAACCCATCTTTGTCACCTCCCAAAACTGCAATTTATCAAACAAGAGCCAACCATTGAGATAAAATACCTAGGAGGACTGAAGGTTCTCCTCATTTTTGATAACTCAAAGGACACAAAGGAATTCATGGGAAACGACCGCATATGGAAAGAGAACCTCAAATGGGAGAAGTATGGGGACGACTTGGAACTCAGCTTCGAGAGGGTCGGTTGGATAAGAATAATGGGGTTGCCATTAAAACTCTGGGGAGACCATAACTTTGTTACAATCACTGGTCGATATGGGAAAACAATTTCCCCTTTCGATGATGTTTATCATCGTGGTGATTTATCATATGTAAAGGTGGGTATATTAACGACGATGTGTGATCGGATTAATGAGGAGATTACTATGGCCACGGAAGATAAGTTATTCAAGTCGATATCGTAGAGTTTGATGAGGATTGGTTTCCCTTCCGGTTTGATCCTACAAAAAACAAGTATGAAGGAGCTAGTGACATGGCGGAGGATGATAAGGAAGGGGTATCGGATACTTGGATGGCTAGTGTAGAAGATTAGCAAGAAGAAGGTGAAATACTCCCAGACAACAATGGTGATGGCCCAAACTCAAACAGAAATGAAGACCCCCAGGTGCCGGAAGTTCAGGCGGTGATCCGTGACCCAGATAGTACAACGGTAACACAATCTCCGACGGTTTAAGCTCAACAACCACTTACTGGGATTCGCATGTCATCGGCTAGCGAGAAAGGCCCAGAGAATGTCCCAACCCAAGATGTGGAGACGGCTCCTGGAACCAGGAGGAAATTAATGCTGAAGGATGCAGGAGGGAATACCCCACATCAGGTGTTGTGGAAAGTGAATACACGCACACTCCTAATTAGGGGTGTTAATCAGGTAAATTTTTTGGGTTTCGGGTAATTCAGATTTTTCATGTAAAAAACATACTTGTTACCCAACCCGAATTAAATTCGGGTAATTCGGGTTTGGGTAATTCAGGTAGTAGGTCAGGTTTGGGTAATTTGGGTATTACCCAAAAATAAATGTAATGAAGTAAATTTGTCGTGCTCTATTAATCTTATTTGTATAAACTAGTGAGGCATAAACGAAGTTACTTAAACTTTGAACATTAAGATTTTTTAGTCAATAATACTTGAGATATCAAGTAATCTTTCACAAAAATAATACCATTTACAAGAAACGAAAATGCAAAAAGCCAATACCCTATTTTCGAAATCATTTACAAGAAAATCACTTACTTTGAAGTTTGAAATCTAAATCGGTGAGTGTTGGTGACGAATTGATGACCGGTGACGACAAGTTGAGTTAAGTTTGAATTCTACTGGAGATGTCACTTTGTCTTCGTAGGGTTCGATACTTTGATGGAAGACTCGAGAAACTGACAACGGTTTTTTTTAAATCAATGATCGGGAATGAGGGTAAAGTCATAAACAACATATGGATAAGTGTGGATATTACCCAACGGTCCCTTTATTTTTTAAATAAATTGGGTATCTCGAGTATACCCAAAACCCTGTACATATACCCTCTACCCGGTCTAAAAAAAATCGGTAACTCGAATACCCGAAAATATATACCCGATTTACCCGAATTCAAAAATGGGTCGGGTCGGGTAATCGGGTATTGGGTATTTTCAACAAGCCTACTCCTAATACAACGCCTGCACTTAAGTCTAATGGGCTAATAAATGACTTGGTGCCACGTGGTTGCTTTGGGCCTTTTCCGTCACAGTTCAATTTAGCCCAAACTGTGGAGATTGACCCAATTATCAATTTGGTGGGTTCAACTAGCAGAAAAAGAAGATGCACTGAGACGGACGATTCCTTTTTCTCTTCATTCTCAATCTCTCCGCTAACATTCCTGATGGATCCGACCCCTAACGCTTCGTCACACATTCAACGTCCCAAGAGTACCGTCGGCGGTCTCCCTCACGCCCCCATCCCACCTCCCCTTATCTCAATAGAAGTGTTGATGATAACAATGAAGTCGTCGAAAGTGAATGCAACTCTTCTAACTTGGAAGCCGTGAAGACAGTAGAAGTTGGGAAGGAAATCGGATTTGAAATCGAGCTTGGGAATCCTGTTTACGGGAAGTAATGGGTGAAATCGGAGAGCACATCGGTCCCCAATGAATTGCCTAAGCCTAAATGTTAGGGGCATAGGTGAGGTCCACAAAATCACCTGGGTAAGACGTCTCAAGAACCAACATGATATCTCCTTTATGGGCCTCCAAGAAACAAAATTACTTGATTCTGAAAACATTGATCTAGTGGGCTGTTGGGGATCAATGGATTTTGGATATTCGGTCGTACATGCGACTGGTAGATCGGGAGGTATAGTAAGTATTTGGGACAACCAATTATATACGGTGGATGAGGTGATTAAAACTAAACACTAGCTGATTACCATCGGTGCTTGGTCTGGAATCCAAGGAGCGATTGTATTCGCTAACATATATGGACCACAATCACAGGTTGAGAAACGAAAACTATGGGATGATTTGCTACACATTAGGAATGAAAAGTACGACACATGGATTGTAATGGGGGACTTTAAAACTGTGCGCATACCAGATGAGAGATATAATTTGCAATTTTGTTCATCCATAACTTTTGCATTCAATCGATTCATTGAAGATGCAGAGCTCCGAGATCTTCAAATGGGTGGACATCGATACACCTACTTCTGTCAGACGGAATTAAAGATGAGCAAGCTTGACCGTATCTTGGTATGTTCTAAATTTATTGGCAGGTTCCCCTCAGTATCTGTAACGGCCCTCCCACGTGAATTATCATACCATTGTCTGGTCCTCCTTCAAACTTCTTCTCAGGACTTTGGTAAACCCCCTTTTAGATTTTTCAATTCATGGATGAATCGTGATGGATTTGATCAGCTTGTGCTCCAAAATTGATCGACCTTAAAAGGGTATGGCAGCCCAGATAGTTACCTATTGGTGAAACTAAAATTCGTGAAAAATACAATCAAGAATTGGCGCGTCACTGAATACCATCAGGAGACAATGGAACTTAAAAACTTGAAACAAAGGGTACACGAACTTGACGTGGCAGCAGAAACCCGGAACTTAAATATCAAATGGTACATGAAAAAAGATCAGGATTCCAGAAAATTACGGACTTAGAGAGGATGGTGGCCCTTGACCTACGACAGAAAGCAAAAATAAAATGGGTGGTCGATGGTGATGAAAACACCCGCTTCTACCATGGGCACGTAAATAACAAAAAAAAAATAAGAACCAAATACATGGCCTGATAATTGATGGCGATTGGAACACAGAGGTGAAGTCGATAAAAAAGGAGGTATTCAACTTTTACAACAAGAAGTTCTAGGAGAAATGGCCTTCAAGACCAAAACTAGTCAATCACCGATTCCGTTCACTAGACTCTGATGTTAGCAATTCTCTGGAATCTCCCTTCTCTCTTGAAGAAGTCAAAAGTGTCGTCTGGGCATGTGGGAACGAAAAGGCCCCGGGGCCATATGGATTTAGCTTTACATTCATTAAAAAGTAATGGAATATTTTGCAAGAGGAGATATTATCATGTGCAAAGTACTTTGAGACTTATAAGCGACTCAATATGGGCTGCAACTCATCCTTCATTACCTTGGTGTCAAAAGTCAAAGACCCACTTAAACTTGGAGACTTCCCTCCGATCAGCCTAATAGGGTGCATCTACAAAATCATTGTGAAAACCTTAGCTAACCGTCTAAAAAAGGTCATTGGGCATAACATCAACGAAGTACAATCGGCGTTTGTGGAAGAAAGAAACATTCTAGACGGGCCATTAATAGTTAACGAATTGTGTTCATGGGAAAAAAGGTGAAAAAATGAATTCTCTTATTCAAAGTGGATTTTGACAAGGCTTTTGATTCGATAAATTGGGAGTATCTTGACTCTATATTGAATCAAATGGGATATGGTGAGAAATGGCGTCGATGGATCAAAGGGTGCCTTGAATCGACTAGAGCATCCGTCATTGTGAACGGGTCACCCACGGAGGAAATCACAATGGGGATAGGTGTTAGACAGGGGGACCCTTTGTCCCTTTTTCTTTTTCATAATTGCAATGGAAAGACTCAATATGGCTATGAAATCGGCATGTGAAAAAGGTATTTTCAAAGGGGTGAAAATCTCTCCCATCTATTATATGCGGACGACGCCCTTTTTGTGGGCGAATGGAGCAAAGGTAATATAAAGAATCTGGCACGGATCCTCTGGGGTTTTCAGGTGTCATCCGGCCTCAAAGTAAATTTCTAGAAGGCTCGGGTGTTCGGTATAGGTGCAAGCTCGCATGAGGTGGCTAGATGGGCGGCTCCGCTTGGATGTGAACCAGCAACGCTTTCGTTCACTTATCTTGGTGTACCGGTTGGAGGCAACATGAATTTAAAAAAGCATTGGAAACCGGTGATTGACAAGTTTCACGCAAAGCTGCCATCATGGAAGGTGAAAACACTATCATTCGGGGGACGACTGACATTAATCAAAGTTGTGATGGGAAATATCTCAACCTTCTACTTCTCACTATTTGTTGCTCCTGGTTGAGTTACAAACACACTTGAGTGCATCCGGAGACGGTTCTTATGGGGAGGAAGTGATGAAAAAAGAAAGTACATTGGGTGTCTTGGGAGAAGGTCAAAGCTCCAAAGGATAAGGGTGGATTGGATGTGGGATCATTGCGAGCGCTAAACCTCTCCTTAATCACGAAGTGGTGGTGGAGGCTTCCAGCGGATCCGTTGCATCCGTGGGCCCGAGTTATTAGAGGAATACATAATCTTAGAAAAAAGCCTTCAAGTATCATCTCAAAAAAAAAATCTATCACAAATGTATGGAACAATGTAGCTGGAATCAAGGAAGACCTCAAGGGCATGGGAATAAAAATTAATGAAGTGATAATGAAACATGTAGGAAAAGGTGATGATACATTGTTTTGACTCAATCATTGGATTGGGGTAAACCCTTTAAAATTGTTATTCCCAACAATATATCAACTGGAAAGTAGATAAACATGTAAGATTGAAGACATAGTACACATGAGAGGCCGATGGTGGAATTGGATCTCGATCCCATCATCAGCTGAGCATAGTTTAGCAGGTGCAGAAACTGCACTTGCTATCCTCTCTTCTCGAATCCTTCCAACCCAATGCGTCGACGGATCGATGGAAGTGTGGGATTTCGTCAAGACGGAATCTTCTATGTCGATGTTCTGAGAAGATTGACATAAAAGTCTTATGCTTCATATGGAGGGCATATGAAGGATAGAATCTCATCATTAAGTGAGCTTGCAAAGAAGGGTTTACACACGGGTCCTTCAACTTGTACCTACTGTTTGTAGGTTGAAGACATGTCTCATTCTCATCAAATGCCCATTGCATTGGATTTTTCATTGGTGTAGCATCC